GGTTTTATAATTGGAACATCTGTCATAGTTGATATTAAAGATATATAGAAAATTATATTTAAAAATTAACTTGTAATTAATATTAAATGGAACATCATTTTTATGATATGCTGGTGGCGAATATCATAAAAATGGAACAGGTTGTCGCGAAGCTTCGCGAGGCATCGCCGATGCGTCCATTTCTTCAATCAATGAGCATTGAAGCTAATTAGTTTGATGCATTGCAAAGAAAACCCCAAGTGCTGTGCCCTCCGAATATTCTATCATGCATGAAAATAATAAGATTATATAGCTATTTTATATTATTATTTATATGAATAGGAGTTATTCAAATTATATTAATATAATAGATGAAGTAGAAAATATAGAACAAGTAATAATAACTGGTAATAAAACTAAAAAAATGCTGTTATTATTCATTAGAAATACTTAAGCTAGGAATACAATATATCAAAAATAAAAATGTAAATACTAATACAAATGGTGAAAAAGAAAAAGAAAAACAAAAATATGACAGGTTTAAGTCTATCTTCAACAGATGAAGATAGCGGAGAAATTGTTAAAGAAACAGCAGTAATTGAGTTTTCTTGTCCAATGTGTAAAAAGATGCTAGAACTTAAAAATGAGTTAGAAATACAAAAGAAAGGAAATTGTAAATGTTCATGTATTCCAACAAGTTTCAAAATAAGTAAAATTGATAAGAAAATGAATATTGATAAAACTAAAGACAGTATCAACTTAGAAACTGATGTCCATAATATAACTTTTAAATGGGGTAGGCAAGCAACACCATCCGATAATAATGAAAATGAAACGCAGGAAACTGTTAAACAAATGATGAAAAATTAGTATTTAAAGAGTAGATTTAACATACTTGCACTTTAAAAATATATAATTAAATAAATAATTATCTAAATAAATATGTAGTAATGTCTGAAAATGAGAATTATACTATTAATGATTGAATGAAGAAGATAACATTAATTGGTAAAAATATCAAAAACTTAAATGATATGATTAAATCCATTGATGAAAAACTTAAACCAGTTGAACGCGAACAACAAAGCAACGAAGAGAAGGAGAAAATCGAAAAGAGATTTCAAGCAAAATCTATAGGAAGACCATCGGGCGACTACCCTACAAAGCAAAAGAAATATTGTGATATGTTGAATACAGGAAAAATCAAACAACCTAAAAGCACCACTTTATAATTTTATAAATTTTCAAAAAATGATGATGGAGTATATGTATTATTTGAATAATTAATATCTAAGTAATGCTAATAATATGAATTTATTAGAATTATTTAGCAAGAAGACCTATATAAAATACCTAGCGAATTAATTTGTGAAATCTTAGTGTGTTTGACGGATTAAGGATTTTGAGTTTGGGGTTGGGCTTGAAACTTGAAATTTCTAGGTTCATCCAACGACAATACAGTAAAAAATAGGAATTCTAAAATTTGAAAATGATAGATTTTAAGGGGCATATCCATAGTTTAGAACATAAACAAAACATCAAACATCTAATGGATTTTGGGGTTTTGGCTACAAGTCGTTCGTCCAGCAACAAAAAAGTAAAATGTGCCTGCGGTTCAAAGCATATGTCCCAGATTTTTGGAGCATATGTCCCAGATTTTTGGAGCATATGTCCCAGATTTTCGGGGCATATGTCCCACATTTTTGGAGCATATGTCCCAGATTTTTGGAGCATATGTCCCACATTTTTGGAGCATATGTCCCAGATTTTCGGGGCATATGTCCCACATTTTTGGAGCATATGTCCCAGATTTTTGGAGCATATGTCCCAGATTTTCGGGGCATATGTCCCACATTTTTGGAGCATATGTCCCAGATTTTTGGAGCATATGTCCCAGATTTTCGAAAATATGGTATTAAGTTAAAACATCATCCAGAGATTTAAAACCATGCTATGATTATAACATTTATACCCTTATATGTTATAATTATAATGTAAGTATAGCGATTTATATATTGAAGATAAAATCCTACAAGGGACACCACGCCTAAAAAAAAATATGATGAAAGTGATGAAACGAAGGAGGGGAGTGATGTTGTTGCTGTTCTATTTTTTGTCCGAGAAATGGGCAAATCGTTTTTAGACAGTTCGATTTTTTTTGATGACAAATATTTTTTGCAATATATTTTGCAAAATTTATTTTTTTGAAATGGATGAGGTGAGGAGATTGAGGAAATGACATTTTGAAGGGTAGTTGGTGAAATGAATGAGGCGAGGAGAAAGGAGAAAAGGATGGCGAACATTTTGGAAAAATGATGAGAAAAAAACGGATGAGATGGACAAAAACGAATGTAGAAAAATGATGAAAACGAAAAAGGGTAGAAGATGGAAGATGGAAAAAAATGTAGGGGGGGTGTATGTATGAAGCAATTTATTTGCCAGGCGAGGCCCTCGACTACTTAAACCACCTGGTTTTTGTTGACCAGGAGCGCTGCAGAAGGACATTCGTCGACAATTGGAGACAGGACACCTTCCGGGAGGCCAACTCATGGACGGGTTCGACTACCTTTTGTTGGCGGACCGGTGGCTCAGAGGGAGGTCTTGGAGGCGAAGGTGAAGGAGAAGGCGTCGTATTATCGGGCGAGAACTTGGGAGACTGGGTATGCCAAGGGTGGCCCGGTGGAGCGAGGAACTGGGGCGGGTCCGGTAGCGTTTCTTCATGTTTTCCCGAAAGCATGGCGAAGGGCTCTTCCGCTGGGTTCACTTGAGTTGTTCTCATGAGAGTCATTACAAGGTGTCATTGCAAGGAATCATCATCATGAAAGTCAATGCAAGGAGTCATTGCAAGGAATCATCATCATGAAAGACAATGCAAGGAGCCATTGCAAGGAGTCATTGCAAGGAGTCATTGCAAGGAGTCATTGCAAGGAGTCATTTGGAGTCATTGCAAGGAGTCATTGCAAGGAGTCATTGCAAGGAGTCATTGCAAGGAGTCATTGCAAGGAGTCATTGCAAGGAGTCATTGCAAGGAGTCATTGCAAGGAGTCATTCATTGCAAGGAGTCATTGCAAGGAGTCATTGCAAGGAGTCATTGCAAGGAGTCATTGCAAGGAGTCATTGCAAGGAGTCATTGCAAGGAGTCATTGCAAGGAGTCATTGCAAGGAGTCATTGCAAGGAGTCATTGCAAGGAGTCATTGCAAGGAGTCATTGCAAGGAGTCATTGCAAGGAGTCATTGCAAGGAGTCATTGCAAGGAGTCATTGCAAGGAGTCATTGCAAGGAGTCATGAGAGTCATTGCGAGCTGCAAGGAGCCAAGCAGTCAAGTCAAGTTGCAAGTGCAAGCAGCCAAGTGCAAGTTGCAAGTGCAAGGAGTCAAGTGCAAGTTGCAAGTGCATGGAGTCAAGTGCAAGTTGCAAGTGCAAGGAGTCAAGTGCAAGTTGCAAGTGCAAGGAGTCAAGTGCAATTGACTTGCGAGGAGTTAAAATCTCTTCTTAGGGCGGCGGGGTAGTGCCGACGACACTACACGAAAATCGACCCTCTGCGGGGATCGGCGTGGTCGAGGTGCAAAAACTCGAGGTTTTTTGCGATTTCTGCGGTGCTCGCGCGACCCTCTGCGGGGATCGGCGTGGTCGAGGTGCAAAAACTCGAGGTTTTTTGCGGTGCGCGACCCTCTGCGGGGATCGGCGTGGTCGAGGTGCAAAAACTCGAGGTTTTTTTGCGATTTCTGCGGTGCTCGCGCGACCCTCTGCGGGGATCGGCGTGGTCGAGGTGCAAAAACTTGAGGTTTTTTGCGATTTCTAAAGTTCCCGCGCGACCCTCTGCGGGGATCGGCGTGGTCGAGGTGCAAAAACTCGAGGTTTTTTGCAATTTCTAAAGTTCCCGCGCGACCCTCTGCGGGGATCGGCGTGGTCGAGGTGCAAAAACCCATGGTTTTTTTGCGATTTCTGCGGTGCTCGCGCAACCCTCTGCGGGAATCGGCGTGGTCGAGGTGCAAAAACTCGAGGTTTTTTGCGACTTTTGTTGTTCGAACTGGTCCTCGGGAGTTGTCTCGTGGTTCGCGCGCCTGCTCGCGGGTTCGATTCCTCCCTGGTCCGCGGGCGGGCGTCGCAAGATGCAACTTGCATTTTAAAGCAACTTGCGCAGAGCAAGCAAGTTGCACAGAGCAACTTGCGCAGACCAACTTGCACCGACCAGTTTGCGCAGAGCGCCTTGCCTAGAGCAACTTGCGCAGAGCAACTTACGCAGAGCAACTTGCACAGAGCAACTTGCACAGAGCAGCTTGCACAGAGCAACTTGCAGGGAGCGCAATTTGCACAGAGCAACTTGCAGGGAGCCACTTGCAGGGACCAACTTGCCGGAGCAACTTGCGCGGAGCAACTTGCGCAGAGCAACTTGCACAGACCAACTTGCACCGACCAGTTTGCGCAGAGCACCTTGCCTGGTGCTGTCTCGCGCTTGCTTCACAAATGCTTCGTGGAGGGAAAAAGAACGCATCCAGCAGCGTTGGGCCGACCTCGCTTGCGATGTTATGCTTTCGGGCCAATGGTCTAGTTTCCTAGGGCCGGGGTGGAACCTGACCCATCTCGGGAGGAAACATCTGAATCCTCGGGGTGGGAACCGGTTTGATTTGCCTGATGTGGCGAATGCCACAGGGGGAGTGTGGAAACAGCACTCGACATTAGCGACCGACCGAAACGTTGGCTCAAGACGCATCGGGAAAGGGTGCGCACCATTTTTACCCCAACATAACCATAGAATTGATTGCCAAGCACGCGGAGGGCATGGCTTCATAAATCTATGACGGGCATATGAAATTGAACTTGCAAAGTGCATGGAAGAATCCAGTCCTTTAGAATGCCCAACGCCAAGAATAGCCCGCTGCTTCGCGCATCATTTCCTTCAACTTGTAAAGGCTAAACTGCATGTCCAGTCCTGAAAGCTTGTGCAGGACTGCTTGCGTATTGGAAATGCAGCTCCAGAATCGCTTTTGCGATTCCAAAGCACATTCACACAGCTTCGGCTACTCCTCCTGGCCGCGCTGGTCTCGCAAGGCTCGGCGATGCAGGCGCTGCAAGTAAGCCACACTTACTGAGACCATCTCCTTGTCTTCAGGTCGTTGTGTTGGCACTGGTGGGAAGACCGAATCCTCAATCTGCAGATCTTCCTCTGTATGTGGGTCATGCCAAGAAGGGAGTTTTGTGTAAAACTCATCTACAAAAGTTCGCTCTGCCTCACTGGTTGCATCAACTTTGCCTGAGGGCTTTTGCCACTGTATGTCCACATCACAAAGACTGAACACATGCATGCCCACCAGAAAACCAGGTTTGCACTGCGGGTGATAATTGATCTTGATTGTCCAGTCGCTTCCGTTGCTTCCGCTGAGCTCATACTCGTAGTGCGCGCTATGAGACAGAAACACACGCTTGCCATCCTTCCTGGGGCAAACTGCTGGGTCGACCTCTTCTTTGGCACTGGCTGGATGGACTTGCAGCATCATGTAAGCGGGCGATTTATCATCGGCGCAAGTGGTGACAAGCAAATGAAGAGGCTGAGGCAGCGGCTGAGAGCCTGAAGCCTCTTTGAGCTTCAAATTCAATGTTGTTGCTGTTGTCTCCTGGACTCTTTGCAGAGTTGTCGACTTCACACGCCACTCATTACTGCAACGCGCTGGTTGCATCTCCAGTTCGTTGCAGTCAGAAAGCACAAGCAACCGAAACGATTGGTATGCCTTGTTGTCTGCGACTTGCTCTTGCGCTTGGGCCCAGCACCTGCTCATCACCAGATTGTGAGTGCTGCATGGTGGCAATTTCGCGCCCAGTGCCACCCACTCGTTGGATGCTTTGCGATTCTTGGCCACGGCTGAACCACCACCCATATAGCGGTGAATTGGATGCCTGCCGTTGTCAAAGAGCTGCACATCAAGCAAGGGGTAAGATTCATCCGGGCAGGACGGATCAATGTTGTCCTCATCGTCCTCCTCGTGCCATGAATGCTTCTTCATGTGCTGGGTATCTTTCTTGCTGTAGGAAAGAACCAAACACACGCTTGCCGTGGACGTCGATGCGTTCGTGATGATGAGCTGTGGGAAACTCTGTTGCAGTCGGATCATAGACTGTGCTGATCGCGGAACTTCGCCGTGCCAGTGGCCGAGAAAACTACGCCTCTGCCAACCTTCTGTGGACAACGGCATGAGCTCCATCTCAGCATCTGCACAAACACTGATCACGTATCGTTTTTCCTGCAAAGCAGTCCCCATAGATAGCATGAGAATGTGGGAATCCTCTGTGTCCATCTCATCCAAATGCTGGGCTGTCACATCTTCAGACATGAAAGGCGCTGAACTCTGGGATCCTTGCCAGAAGAGCGGGGAGTTGAGTCCTCTTGCGATTAAGTCTTCCAGGAATGTGGCCTGATCCTTTTCCTCTCCTTGGGCAGACTGCGACCCCTTGACAGTCACAATCCTGGAAACATGGTAGAGGCTGCGCTGTTGTTGGCTTGCCCCTTGCTCCCGCCTGGCTTCTGCATCAGGATCAACAACCTCGCTGACGGCCAAAGCACAAAATATCAACTCAACCATGTTAATTGCGAGCTATCCTCAGAACTTTTCGAAATGAGGAAAGGGTGGATGCCGCCAGCACACCTCTTGTTTGCCTAATGATTAAATTATGCATAATTACGCGTTTTGTGTCTGGCCTCATGGGTTGCAACAACTTGTCCTGTTGCCTGCGCCAAACACCAATCCCATGCAGTAGTCAGAAAGCCCAGCGTGAAGCGCCCAGTAGTCAGAAATAAGTGCCTCAATCACTTCCAAGGAGCTGACACCGCCAGTGCCACCTTTTTTTGAGCCGTTTGAAAGCGCAGTGCGTACATGGGGTTCATCCATGAAGTGGAGCATTGTAACGGCCCGCCAGCAGTGATAGGACGAGCAGTCCAGGCACCCAACTTGACATGTCCAAAGCACTGAATGCCCGCCGCAACGTTGTTGAAGGCCACTTCCTTTGCAAAGGACTTGGCAGTGGCATCCGCCATGGCCTCCAGAACGATACGCCGGTGGCTTGGATCTGGTGTGATCTTATCTCGGTCATTCAACATCAACAAGGCTGCATTCTTCACATGCCGAGCCACTTCTGCTCCATCATTCCTGCCCACCTGCCGCTCAGCTGATTGGAAGTGCCTGGCTGCCTCGAGGAGCTCTGGCACGGCTCTCAAGGCTTCTAAACTGCGGCGCAGCTCTTGCGCAGAGGGTGTGGACCCGTAACACAGGCGCTGCAGGCATTGGGCGGCCGCCTTCTTCATCCGCGCGGACTGGCCGCTCTGCAGAATGCTCAGCGCAAAGCGCAAGGCCTCCGCCGGGATGTGGATCTCCGACTCGGAATCACTGGCCACCTGGCCCAAAGCGTTCAGCGCTGCAGCTGCCACGGCTTGTGCGCGGTGCTGTGTGAACTGCAAGGCCACGGCCACAGCCCCTCCTTGAACCAGGAGACGTCGCGCCACTTTGTCCTCAAACAATGCAGCATACTTGGCATACTTTCAAATTGCACACCCCAAACCACATAGCAACCCTCCAAACCCTCTCCCACGATCAAACCGCTCCTGAGCGATAGCCTCCATCAGCTCCATGTATTCCAGAATTCGAGCTTCATCGCTGTTGGAGTCCAAGGGGAACCGCGCCCCGTTGGTGATGTCCAGTACTTGTTGAACTAGCCGTGCGATATTTTTGTCAGGATCTGGCCGGGCGCTGACCCTGTCCATGTCCAGGGTGCGGCAGAGGCACTGGGCCAGGCGCTGGTGATAGAACACCTTCTTGGTCCTTTCCATCTTCTCCAAGATCTTCTCCAAACCACCAATTTGATAAAACCGCTGCTTCCAACTCGGGTGGGCCATCAACAAATGCTGCAAGATGGAAGTGGACCCGGGCAGCTTCTCCACTGCCTGCTGCAACTCGTCGCTGCCAAAGGCTGCCAGATCCTCTCGTAAGTCCGCTTTCACCTAAGATCAGGATACGCAGCTGGCACATGTGCTGATTTGGGAGCCATGTCGGTATGGAGTGGATTTGGCTTTCAATTCTAAAGCGAACCCACAACCTGAAACGCAACGCGCGTGGAAAGGCTAGACGGCCGTCCGGTTCCAGGCTTGCAAATGTACCCGTGTGAGCGCATCAATCACAAGACTTCACCGAAGAAGAACGCGAGCCGACGCCAAACTGGGCAACTCAGGCAAGTGCATTTAGAAGAGGAGTCCGTTTCAGGCCAAAATGCATAATCTAAATACACATTTTGGACATGCGGTGTTGCTGTCCTTTGACCAGAGCGTTCTTCACGCCCCAATCACAACGCTCAGGGTGAACAGAGGTGGTGACATCTGGGACATGACAATGAAGTGGTGTTGGTGGTGCCCACGGCATGAAATCGAATGCTTGGCCGGGTGGCAGGCTCATCATCTTTGGCCCCGGCCAAGTGCAAGCTCGTTTCAAGCAGCGCCAGCTCCTCCCTCTTCTTGGCCAGCTTGTGCTGGAGCTCCCGCTGCTGGGCTGCTTCGCTGCCCAGCTTCTCCCGGTGCTCTGGCGAAGCCCCGGCCACAAGCAGCGCGTCCAACTCCGCCAGCTGCTGCTGGCGAAGCTGCTGCAGCTCCGGCGCTTCTGGTGACTCGTTCTGCAACTCCTCAATCACAGAAAAATCCAGTGAGATAACATGAGAACACAAGCAATGAATTCGAGGAATATGGAAAACTCCGTGTCAGGAAAAGCAATGCGCCCCACTTGCGAGCTGCGCGCGTGAGGTGCTGCAAGCGTTTGTTGAGCAGTTCGTGTTACGTTGGCAAAGCATATTCCGCCAGCAGACATGCGGACAACCCCTGCTGGGCTGCAAACGCATAAGCGAAAAAGAAACCCTTGCCGAACAAGTTTGCGCTGCAAGCTAAAAACTCGCGTTCGCATCACACAAACACGCAACAGCAGGGGCCTGCTGTAAAAAGCAACCCAGAAAGCCGCGCTGATGGACCCATGCAAGCGTCCTTATTGCGCCACGGCGGTGATTTCCCCTGCAGTTGTCTGCGCCGAGGCGTTCTGACTTTTGCCGCGCCCCGCGCCACTGGGCGGGGTCAACAGCAACCCAGAAAGAGGGTGGGATTTTTTCCATGGAGTCCGAAAGGAGTGGTGGACATGGTGGTTCTCTATAATACAAATCATAGCTGTATGTCTAAGGGTTGATTCCTTGTCCGTTCTTTCCAACCATCGTTCTTTTTGAAAACCGGAGACATTGCTACGTGAAGAGGAGAAGACTACCTCACTGGCGCTACATCAAAGACCCCTCCTATGACACTGCGAAGCACACCATGCCTGCAAACAGACGCTCATCTACATCCACCTCGCCCTAAACCGATGACTGTCAACATGTTGGTCACCAGTAGTCAGCTTGTAACAAACAAGTCATCTAAGGGAGAACAACAACAAACAGCAACAAGCAACAACAGGCAACAACAAACAACTGCGAACCAATCCAAACAAAAGCGGTAAACACCAAACAACTAAAAACAACACGCAGCCACCGGCAGCCAACAACAGCAGCAACAGCAAAAGCAACGACGGACACACAAACACACAACACGCAAACACACACACACACAAACTAACTAACGAACAACCAAACAAACACACACAAACACACACACACACAAACAAACAAACAAACAAACACACAAACGCACAAACACGAAGACACACAAAACACACACGCAAACAAACAAGCAAACAAACGAGCAAACAAACGAGCAAACAAGCAAACAAGCAAACAAGCAAACAAGCAAACAAGCAAGCAAGCAAGCAATGAAAAAAAACCAAGGACTCTAAACTCACCAACGCAAGCTTGAGCCACCAAAGTGGCAGCTGTATCATGACATAGGCATGGGGAAAAATGTATATTTGACACGCCCCCTTGGATATATTTTATTTAAAGTTGAATGTAGTCAACAATTGAGTCTGCACACTCTCAGCGGCACATATTGAATCTGAAACGAGGTAAAGTCTTGCAAAAGTGAGTGCCAAAAGTCAGAGATTGTAAATGAAGTCGATGGCGCCACTCAAAGTGTCAGCCTTCAAACATGCGAGTCTCTGGCGCCGATGGAAAGTACTCATTACTCCGATGATGAGGTCGATGTGATCACGGCCTTGGGCGGCTTGGTCTTCGGGTGCGGGGCAGGTGCGTGAGAAGTCAAAGTCAAACGAGCAGGCAAGTCAAGGTTGAACGGACGCAGGAGCGCGTCACTCAGCACCTCTCACACGCGTAATGTCTCCGCGACCTGGAGGGGGACGAGCCACCGGCACATACCACGTATATGATGTATCCACAGGTCGGGCTCTTGCAGGAGGTGGAGTCGTGGTCCGGCGTGTGCCGCGAGGCTCAAAGGCGCCCGCGCTGTTGCAGCTGTTGCAGTCTGACTGATGCTCAGAAGCTGCATAGTTCAAGGTGTCCAACACCGCCGAAATTTGCCAGGAGATCGCTTTGAGAAGGAAGATGAGGTTGTTGACGAACTCCGTGGACAGTAGCATGGCAACCGACAGCAAGTGATTATTAACTCAAGCAAAGAACGGCTGCAAGCAGATTCATGGGAATCAAGGCAGAAAAACATGCATGAAGCAGAACTGATTTTTACACGCATGGCTGGCCAACGTCCGCGAGCCAAACCCGAGGTCCGTCACGATCTCCGACGCCCGTTGCGTTCTCGAGATGCGCTTGTGAGATACTGGGTGAGGTCCCAAGGCGAGGAGCGCTGCCGGGAAGCGGACGTAGCATACAGTGTGATAGGTCCAGGTAGGACCATCCCAGACGCCTTGCCGGCGCTGCCTTCGGAGACGATGGGTGGTGTCGTCATGGGTGGAGGCAACGGTGGTGGAGGAGCAGGCGATGTTGGTGCCTTCGTGGTAGGTGGTAAGGTAATGGCAACCTCGAATCCGTAGTAGCGGGAATCGACGGTGGTGCCGGTGGCGGAGACTGTGGCCGAGGAGCAACTGAAAGAGGTGCTCGGAGAGTGGATTGTGCTTCAAGGCGCCTCCTGGTCGCAAGTAGGATGTTGGCCGTGGCAGTTAAAGCATGTAAAAGGTCTTGACATTCACGTAGAAGACCACCATGATCCATAGGTAAGGAGCGCAACTGGGCTACTGTGAGATATAGGCAGCAGCTGAGGACAGGCATTATCAATAAGTAGAAAGTCAAGAGATGCAAAGTAAGGCGCATGGTGACAACGAGCATACAAGTCAAGCAACACAAGATGTTGCTCATGGGGACAACACGAACCCATCCAAGACTGCGAAGAGATTCCCCGGAAGACAACGAAGCTGCCATCACAAAGGCCACGGGTTACATCACGAAAAATGCATATCCCGCACAAAACCACTCAGAAGACGCAGCGCACAGCGGTTGCTGTTCAGGTGTCGAAGTCGGAAACAGACCGAGCAGGCGCTGATGTCGATATGGACCCTCACCAGAACAGAGCCACATAGGCAGGGATCGCCAAGGTCGATCTGAGATTCCACCTCTTGTCTTTGCTGTGCGCACAATCAAAGAAATGCCAGGCAGCGGTGTCAGCGGGTGCGCCGCCTTTCGGCACCATGCAGTGAGCCTAGCGCAAGCGGGCAACTCCGCCCACACAGAATCCAAACTTCGTTCCAATTGCTGAAGTCCTCATTCGGCAACGGAGTATCCTCCCACTTGGACCGGCGTATGAGCTCCTCATCACGCAGGATATTGATTTCCGCGCGGACGTCAGTGTCGTGGGCCCAGTGTGATTGCCAGCGTTTCCTGGAATGGTCCGGCGCGGCTCAAAGTTGAAGAAGAAATTGATTGCCATAGGAGTCTTTCTTAGAAGTGCGGTCAAACCGCTGAAGCTGGATCTTGGTCTTCCGGATGTGGGCCAGCACTTCTCCAGCAGCCCAAATGTGTGGCAAGCTGTTCCGGCAAGGGTGATGGTGCCTTCAAGAGTCACACATGTAGCCCAGGACCTTGGTGTCATGCTGAGTTTCAAGAAGAACCGGCGGACCGTAAAACGAGGGAAAGGAAATTGGTGAGAACATCTGAAGGCGGAGCTGAAGAGCGTAGTAGTATAAACCTGTTGTCGACGTAGCGCTCATGCCAAAGGACGCCGGAGTCAGGTAGACGGTGTCGAAGTGATGTCATAGTTTGATGCCAGAAAAGTCTTCAACCGTGGCAACGAGGTTACACAGCGGAGGTGCAGCAGGCGATCCCACAGCTACTCCACCCACGTTCTTGGCGAAAAAGAAACCCATTGATCTCAAAGTGGCTGTTGGCAATGGCAAAATCAAGGAGGAGCTTCAGGTCCTGGGGGTGGAATACTCGGGGGATTTTAGTCATGCGTCGCCACTTGCCTTTGAAGATGCGTCTGCGATGGTGTGACTTGACTTCATAGACGGACCAATGCGAAACATTGCTCAAGCCGACCTTGGTGTTGTATTGATGAAGTAGTACCTGCAAGGCCTGATGAAATCGTTCAACCAGAATGGAAGTGAAGAAGCCCGAATCCTGCGATATAAGCTGGATGTACTCGGTCGGATCCGCAGTGGATAATGCATCCCATAGTTGTTGAACAAGATCTTGCACGGGAAGTTGTCCAGGAATGCGGCAAAGTGATCTTGGTGAGCTCAAAGATCAGTGCCCCGAAAACTGGGAGTAATAATGATGCCCAAGTGCGAAAGAAAGAAATGGCTGGTCTGGCTTTGAGCTAGTCCTTCAAGGGCTTGGGCAGGATGCGGATCATGAAGACGAAAACCCCAGGAATATTGCGGTTGAAGACGAGCATGTATCCTAGTGACCACGTGAGCTCGGAAAGGCGCAGCGGGCTGAGTGCCAAGGGCGAAGACCTCGCCAGTGCAAAACGTCCTGTGAAGCAGGGTCAAGAAAAGTGTGGGACAAATCGCATGAGCTCTTGAAGGAAAATGATCAGCTGGATCACAAGGGCTGGAGAGCACCTGAAGCGCTTCCGCAGTCCAAAAAAGATCCTGTGGTGTTCATCCAGCAATTCAGTCAAAAGTTGTTGGATGTCATCAAGGCTGGAATGTCGTAGGTTCCATCTGTGCGCCAGCTTCAGAGCAAGGCGAGCTCGTAGTTGTTCTACGTCGCCGAAGTACTGATCTTTCATGGAGGCCGACATGACGTTGACGTCGATCAGGGTGTTGATTTCGTCAAAGCCTGTAATGAACATGGCGTGAGAACGGGCGACCGTCGCGTGGGACGAGGTGAGCAGGAACAAGGAAAAGAGGTATCTGGAGTCCAGCGCTTTTGCCATTTGCGACAATTGAAGATCCGGTCCCCCCAATTTAAACACTGCGTGTTTCAGTGACTCGAAATGCTGAGATACCCAGTGTTGAAGCCAAAACCCAAGTTGAAGTTTCCATTGATGAGCATGGACTGGAGGAAGAAGTAAATGTGTAAGCGTGGTCGGCAAAGGAAGGTGCCGCTTGCGCAGTGCCTGTGTGGGCTTTGGATCGAAAAGGCTCCTTGACAAGTTCGACGAGGCGGAGGAAATAGTAAAGCTGAGTGGATGGGAAGGCAGCTGACAGCAGTCCGCGCATGGATTGAAACGAAGCACCAGTGTTGGATCCCAGTTTGTGCAAAAGAGAATAGTGTGCTTGAATATCATCCAGGGCTTC